GTCTTTTTATGCAGCAACCCACTCCCCCAAACTATGAGGAAATGTATTGGGTGAGGTTTTGTTTTCCTTCAGGGATGGTGTGTCGAAAGCCAGCCGATCCTATTGACTGGCCACCTCTGGTCCTGGGACTCCTGACCTTGCTGAAGCAGTTTCATTCACGCTATACTGAACAGTTTCTGGGTCTGATCGGTCAGTTTGTTCGCTCCACAATGGAACAGTGCACCAGGTACCAACCTCTCCTTCACGAAGCCCTCGCTGCCTTCCCTTAGCAACAGAGCATTAGATGCTCCTTCAAAGGGCAGCTGGATAAGCCATTATCCACGAAGCTCAATTTCTGAGTTGAGTATTGACACTCCATGGTTAAGAAGACATGAGCTGCTCAGTAGAGGGTAGAGAATTTCTGGCCTTTGGATGTTGCTAAGTTACAGCTTGCAACAATCCAAGTTGGCTAATGATTAGGGCAGTGGTAGTATTCAATTTTTTTTACTACCGGTTCTGTGGGCGTGGCTTGGTGGGCTGGGTGTGGCTTGGTGGGCATGGCAGGGGAAGGATACTGTAAAATCTACATTCCCACCCCACTCCAGAGGAAGGATACTTCAAAATCCCCATTCTCTCCCCACCCTACTAACCTGCTTTCCAGTTCCATTCTCCTGTGCAGGGCAACAAAAGAAGACCCAGCCAATCAACTGGGACTCGGGAAGCAGAGAATAGATAGGGGCTGGGCGGGTCAGAGATGGTATTCTGAACTGCTCAAAATTTCCGCTACCGGTTCTCCAGAACTGGTCAGAACCATCTGAATACCACCTCTGGATTAGGATTCTGAAAGTTGTAGTTTACCAACAGCAGAGGGCCATAGTTTCCCCAACTTCAGTAAAATTAAATGTTGGATCACTGGTGGCTCCCTTGTCCCTTTTCTAAACTTGTTTCCAATTCTCTTTAAACCTGTTTGAAATGTGGTTGACAGAATTGTGCATCGATAATACACTCCATAACATTGATTTTTTTTTGTCAATGGCTAAGTTTACATAGTCTTAAGGCCCAGTTAACAAATCACATCATGTGCAAAGCTAGTCAGCCAAACCACATATTGACCTCAAATCTGTAAATCCGATCCTTGACAGAACTTGTAGCATCAGTTCTTTTTAATACTGCTTCTAGCTTGGAGGCCTGGGATTTGTCTTCTGGTCAAATATTTACTAGGTTTCGTGGTTTAACATTTTTATTGACTTATAAGGTAAAATAAGATACAAAATATGAAAGTAAATAGGAAAGCAGTGGGGAGGAAGAGGGGGAAGAGAAGTAAGGAAGGATTAGGAAAAAGGAAAAGAAGCATTGACTTCTGACTCTCTCTTGTTACAGTAAAATAAGGCATTAACATCAAATCATAACTTTTTGTTTTTTCATAATAATATAAACTAGCTATTTCTATAAGGATCTCTCAGTCAGTGAAACCCAAAATCAAAGTTTCATTCTTTTCTACTTCAAGTACAAAGTTCAGAAGCGGTCTCCATATGGAAACAAAAGTACTTATATTTTCTTTAATCAAAAGAGTCAATTTTGTCATTTCTACCAACTCCATCAACTTCTGCAACCATTCATCCGTGGTAGGAATCGAAGTGTCCTTCCATTTTGTGCATACAATAGTCTTGCTGCTGTCAACATATATAGTAACAAAACTCTAAAAAAATTTCAAGAGGTCTTTTTTCATTAGGCCCAAAAGGAAAAATTCTGGTTTCATCTTTATCTTCATTTTCAAAATTTTCTGTATTAAAATATGTATCATATACTCCCAATTTTTATTTTTTTTTGCTTTATCACATGTCCACCAAAGTCCCTTCTTGACTTTTACACTTTCCAACATTCATCTGACATACCTTTATACATCTTAGATATCTTACAGGTTTAATCCCTCTTAAAATAAGAGGTGGTAGGGGAAGATCAGGCAGTTTCACCTAGGTTCTGCATCTGCTGTGCTGTGGCACAAAATGGCTCCATTCTAAATCATCCTTAAATTAAGTTGAATATATATGGAGGTGAGAGGTGCTTCCTTCAACATTGATGTGTTTTCTAGCTGGCTCATCAGAGATGTACCAAAATTAAAAACATTTTGTGTTGTGGTTTTGTGCCTATTTGCAGCCAGAAGGTCCCGGAAATGCCAGCAGATGTTGTGGGCGCCCTGCTGTTTTTACAAGATTACGTTCATTACACAAAATTACCAAGAAGGGTGAGTATAACAAGGGTTTTTTTTGCGAATGAGTCCAATGTACTGAATGGACAAAAGCATCCAGAATTTTTGCCTGTGTTTCTTAGATCATCCTTAGATATGCTATAGAGCCGTGATGGCAAACCTATGGCACACATGCCGGAAGTGGCACGCAGAGCCACTTCTGCCAGCATGAGAGAGGTCGCCCGGAAGAGTCCCACTGCGCATGTGCGCCCGCCACCTGCCCAACAGCTGATTGTCGGGTATCTGGCGCGCATGCGCAGGAGGCGGAGGTGCACGTGGGGGGGGGTCACGTGCGCATGCACAGGGGGTTTGGGGGGGCTGCACACATTGCCTTCTGGGTGCTGGCACAATTTTTGGCACGGGAGCCCAAAAAGGTCAGCCACCACTGCTATAGAGCAAAGTTTCCCAAACTTGTCGACTTTTAAGATATGTGGACCTCAACCACCAGAATTCCCCAGCCTGTATGATCATTTCCCCTAGGAAGATCATCTCTGATAATTCTGGTTTTAAAAGGCAGCCACAGCTGAGAAAGATAAAGGAATAACTGAGCAGTTTGCTTTGCAAGGCTGACTTGCTTGGAATTCAGACATCACACTCTGAATAACGTAGTTCACCATTAATTTGGAACAAGAGTAATGTTTTTCTGAAAATAAGTTTTGATCTGCAACTGGCGAGCTTAACCAAAACTAAATGAAGTAACTGTAGATTTAATAAAAATAGCAATGGCTACTCCTTAATAATTCTTGTACGGTTGCAGTTTCCCACTTCATGCCTAAGTGCTTCTATTCAGAAAGCCAAGATCTCAAATATAGAAATAGTTTGAAACATTTGGAAATGTAAAGCAAAAGATTGAGGCTGGGACTTTTTAAATATTTTACTGCACTGAAAAAAACTTGAAAATAAGTACATACGTTTTCTCTTCCTTTTTTGCCTCTTTTTGCACTTCTGCACTTTTCTTTAACTTTCTCAGTTTTTTTAATTTGTATTTTACCATACAATTAAGTTCTATTTGTATTTTACCGTACAATAACATTTTAAAAAGTGAAGAAACAAATATTTAACAGGAATAATGAGCCCTTTCTTTCCTTAGGTGGTCGAGGCCCATGTGCCTAATTTCATTTTTGATGAATTTCGGACAGTTCTATGAAATATCAACCGCTGATTCTGAATGGAAAGAAGAAACAAACCTCAAAAGGTGATAAGGAGGGGAAAAATCATTTCCAAATATATGAGTTTGCTAATCACTGAGTATTAATATTCTTCATAAAAATAACTGGAATCATGGCATCATAGCCGATGGATTATTAAATTCAAGCAGTGTATATTTTGTACTTAACCTATGATGTACACAATTCCTTTACAAAAATCATCTGTTCCTAGAGAACAGCATGTGAATAGGAAATGATATTTTTTTGTAACACAACTAAAAAAAATAACAACAGTGAAATGAATGGATTGTAAATGTTTACCATTTTCACCAGTGCATTATTTACATAATGCTGTTATGTATGTTAATTAGAATCCAAATAATGGAGTCGGAAGGACCTTGGAGGTCTTCTCTAGTCCAACCTTCTGCTCAGGCGGGAGGCCAATACCGTTTTAGATAAATGATTGTCCAGTCTCTTCTTTAAAACTTAAAGTGGAGCTTCCACTACCACTGATTAATTGTCCTGTCAGGAAATGTCTCCTTAGTTCTAGGTTGCTTCTCTCTTTGATTAGTTTTCATCCATTGCTTCTGGTCCTGCCTTCAGGTGCTTTGGAGAATAGGCTGAACTCCTCTAACTTTGTTGGGAGTCCCTGAGACATTGGAACACTGCAGTCATGTCTCCCCTAGTCCTTCTTTCATTAAATTAGATATATCCAATTCCTGCAACTGTCTTTCACATGTTTTAGCCTTCAGTCCCCTAATCATCTTTGTGGCTCTTCTCTGCATTCTTTCTAAAGTCTCAACATCTTTTTTATATCATGGCGACCAAAACTGAAAGCAACATTCCAAGTGTGATCTGAACCAAGGCATTATAAAGTAGAACTAACACTTCATGTGATCTTGAGTCAATCCCTCTGTTAATAACCTATTCAATATTAATATACAATTGTATACAATATACAATTTATGAAGCTTGCATGCTATGTTTGATCCAAGGTTTGCTGACTTCCTGGCTTATTTGATATTAGACAATGATGCTATTTTTCTCCTTGTCAAATGCCAGAAGTCACAGCGATCTTGTCATACTTCTACTAGTATCAGCAAGCTCCCATTTGTCCCCTTAGCTTAAATAAACTAGCCACGCTTGTAATAGACACATACTATTCAAGGAATGTCTTAGCAGTAAGGTTGGACCATAAGGCAGCATTATATTTATTCAATAAATTTTTACTTGCTAATTCTCCTGTTTGATCTTAAATTTCTAATTTAACTAATACATCATATTCCTGTTTGTTAGATCTCTCATATCCACAATTTGAGGTAGCTTTTTCCATATAATTACACAGCTTCAATACTTGGACAACACTGAAAAGATCAAAATAACTCCTCCTCAGTTTTGTTCAGCATAAGATGAGAAACTTGGATAATTATTATATTTATTATATTAAGATACAATAACAAATTCTTGAAAGCCTGTCCAACTTTCTCTCTTTCCCATCTTATAGTATACAAGATCAAGGTGAGGTTAGAGTTTCTGCCTCCCATTTCTGGATATCCAATTGGCAACTAGCACAGAATCCCAACATTATAGAAAATGAGAATGTAAATTAAGAGTTGGACAAAAACGATCAGAAAAGCAAGAATTTATTATAAGTTCTGGGCTATAACAATAACAACGAGAATGTAGAAGTTCACCCCTCTCCCCAAAGGTCCCCAAAGGTTAAAAGTTGCACACTTTAATGCAACAATAATATATATTGAAAACTTACAACGACACCCTGTAGTGTTACTGGTTTGTTTTTTAATTCTAATTGAATCAATGTTTGTCTTGGCACTGCCTACTCCTGGCACCCATTTAAAAACAAAACCCTTACGCACGCGCCCCTCAAAAAATATGTTTTTGGACCTGCCAGAAGACTCTTCCCCTTCTTTCTATAATTGAATGGAAAAGAAAATGGAGAAGATCCCTAAAATATGTACCAGAACTTGAAACAAAAACACAGTATATTCATGGAATATATGTTTACATGTTACTTGACAGAAAAGCTCAACACCAGAAAGTATCAGTGAAGAAATATACATGTAAGAGCTGCGGATGCTTTTTTAAAAATTGATTGAGCTGACCTCCTTAGTTTGATTTATTTTATTATGGTAACAAGGCAGTGCCATTTATACTGCCATTTTAGCTATCACTGTTACAGTAGCCGAAAAGGGTTGTTGCCAATATCGCTCTTAGAAACTTTATTTGTACAAAGTAACACAGACAAATGTGTGTGCATTTTTATGCATGTGAACACAGACACATAATAACCCTGTTTATCTCAGTATACCCATAGCTAAATCTTTTTGTCCATCAGGATGCCTGACTCTCTTCCCAGAAATCCAACAGAATGGAGATATTGCCACACATAGACATCACTGCTCCTTCTACTTCTCTGCTCCTTCTAGTTTCTCCTCTGCCATACACCTGGCTTTGAGATGTTGCAGTTCCAAGTTCCATCAGCCCCAGCCATCACTTATTTATGAAAGCTCTAGTACAACATCTTGAGGACCCTAGTTCTCTCAAAATGAGACCGCTCTAATGAAGCCGACAATATGAAGGCATCTAGAATTCCATGCCGTCGTACCCATAAATCTCAGCATTGGCTAAGTTCTTCCTGAGGTGGTAAGCCTTGGGCTGTATCATTTCAGGCTACAGCGGAAGCTCAGCCAGCATTCCTCCATAAATAAATAAAACCCTATATTTTTTGTAAAAAAAAAAAAACAAGACACTAGGGAGAATGCTTTTTCCAGTTTCTTTCTACAAAACCAATTTGGAAGGTCATTTAAATAAGCCAGTTTTAACCTGTGGTCTAAGAACAGTACGATGTAGCCCATGTTTGCTTTACTGTGCCAACATAAGCAAAATCATCCATTTTCGATTCGTAACCTCCTGGCAGGATAACTATGATTGCTGCTGTTGGTTAAGTCTCTATTAAGGGGCTGAACAAACTCCCATTTCTTTGTCACACACGCACACATACACAACACCCAAAATAGAAAATAGAAGAAGAGCAGCTGGTCAGGGCGAAAGAAAATAAGCCAGTTCTGTAGGACTAGAAAAAAAAATGTGAACAGAGTGTAGGGGGTTTCTAAGCTGTGATTTCTGGAAATACACTCATAGTTCAGATCAGTAGTTCTAGAAATTACATTAATTGGTTTGTTTGTTTTTTTGGTAAGTTCTGGCCTCAAAAGTCAGAGGGGGCAAGGGAAGGGAAGAACTTGGCAATCTCCCGTAACATGCTAGATACTTACTTACTCTTGGAAGTAACCTGTTGTGACCCTCTCTTGCTCCCTTGGATTAGAATGGTGGTTTTGGTGTGTTTTTTTTAACACACCCTTGTTTGACAAGATTATCTATGTGCTTATAAACCTCAAAGCGCCACTGCAAGATCATCCCAGGCCCACAGTTTTGTTGCTTCTGTTGTCTTTTCGACTTAAGAGACAGGACCCATCCGAAAGATGTGAAGAAATCCAAGCAGTTGCTCTTCCCGTCTCTTTGCCCCTCTGTATTCAGTAGATGAGGCATTTCATTTCAGAATATATCAGTGGGAATATGACAGAGCAAGCTCGGTACATCACTGCGAGGCTGCTGAAAATGGCCCGGGGTTTGGTGATCCAAGATTCAGATTTGAAACAAAAGTAAGTGGCGTAGAGGGCAACGGCGAAGAAGTGGCCGATCAGGACGATGGGCTTCGGAGACAAACTGTAAAGAAAGATTTGGAAGCAGAAATAAATTATGAGGAATATATATTTTGTGAGTACAACACTAGAAACTCTGAAAAGATCATCCATTAATATGGACAGGATAATAGAACAATTTAAAGAATATTGCTATTTTCCCCCTTGAAACTTTTCCATAGAAGATTGAGAACCCACTTTTTACAGTAAGTTCTCTCTGCTTTTCCATATAGACTTTCTTTACAATACAGGATAATTCAACAGAGGGGGTGGTATAACAAGTTATTAATTTCTGACTGTTTATTAAACTCATTTCAGTGACTCCTATTCTTCAGTTTCCTGAGTCCTACTGGTTCCTGCTCGGTTTCTCTTTCTCTCTTCGCTATTTTCTTTTATTCAACATTTACTGCCTTCATAAGCAGGCAAAGTTTTACATTTTACATTTTCAAGAGCCAAAGGTTCAGATAGGTGCTTCAAGAGACCACACTCAGCTGTAAGTATTTTATATGTGGAAGGTCTTGGATTTAATTACCATTAAAAGGCTGAATAGGAAAGACTTCCTTCAACTTCCATACGAGTAATCCTCGATTTACAATCATTCGTTTAATGACGGTTCAAAGTTCCAGTGGTGTTGGAAAAGTTACCTTCTGACCAGTTCTCACACTTAAAACCACAGGTAGTCCTCAACAAGAGTTCATTTAGTGACCGTACAAAGTTACAATGGCACTGAAAAAAGTGACTTGATAATTTATCACACTTATGACATGATTCACATTCGGATGCATGACAACTGACCCACATGTATGATGGTTGCAACTGTCCTAGCGTCACGTGATCCCCTTTTGCGATCTTCTGACAAGCCAAGTCAAAGGGGAAGACAGATTCACTTAACAACCGTGTTACTAATTTAACAACGGCAATGACTCACTTAATGAATGGGGCAAGAAAAGTCGTAAAATGGGGCAAAACGCACTTAAACAAATTTCTCACTTAGCAACCTAAACTTTGGGCCCAATTGTGGTTGTAAGTTGAGGGCTCTCTGTATAGCCATGGCCCTGCAGTCATGCGACCCAAAATTGGGGCAGTCGGCAACTGGCACGTGTTCAAGACAGTGGCCGTGTCCTGGCGTGATGGGATTCCCCCATTTGCGGACCTTCCCAAGGGGCTTCTCACGAGCAAACTCAAGGGGGGAAGCCAAGTTCGCTTAATGACCACAGCAAAAAAAAAAAGTTTATAAAATCAGGCCTGATTCACTAAACAACTGCATCGCTTAGTGGTAGAAGTTCCATTGCCAATCGGGTGGGGTGTAAATTGAGAACTATTTGTATTCAGACATAGCCAAAGACAGATTTTTACACCCTAAAGAATTGTTAAATAAAATACGGTATATGACTTGACTTAATTGTCTAGCCAGAAAACACACTCTTGATCGCCATTACCTTCCGTGTGTCTCTCTTTCTAAAAGGCTCCTGAGGCAAGTCAGGGGCTCTGCTAACTACAACTGCTGCCAATAACAAGTTGAACAAGAATTTTGGGGTGGGGGGAAACCCCCAACTTACATGGAAAGTAATCCAACTGGACCAGACACACACTTGCCTCCAAGCTTGAAATAGTAAAAGCAGGCTCTCCTTAGCTTGCATAGAGAATCTGTCAAATAGATGAAACACGACATCAACCTTAGCAGAAAGGCCAGGCAAAATGAGAAAATGAAAATTTACAGCACAACGGCACAATATTGGCCTAAATAAACATTCCCTTTAAAATCGTATCCCGCGTAGATGGACAAAACCAGATGGACTTGATATCGCGGCAACAGCAACTTTTGGGAGCGGTTCTGCAAGGGAGTCGTCTTTAATGTAGATTGTTATGTCATTGTGTGTTCTATCCTAGGCCTCCCCAAAAAGCACTAAGTCAATTCTGAGTCCTGGCAAGAACCTCTTTTATTACATCAATGTGAATTTATTTTATTCACGGATTGGCAATCTTGCGAAGGTAGACTAATGAGATCAGACCTTTATCAATCCTGGAACTCTGCCCGGTAAATAGTTCCACACTCGCTGCTGGCAGGGAAGGGCTGGGTTGTACAGACAACTCTCCATGAGGCTGGAGCAAACAAACGACCAGACCAAACGAGCGAGTTGTTTCCTGCAAAGCCCCCTCCCCTTTTGCTTCTCTTTTAATTCTGATGGGAGGGGCTATTCATCGTCCACCTGTGGCCTTACTCCCACATCGACCCTGAGTTCTTAATTGTGCCTTCCTTTTGGCAGCTCTGAGCCAGTTCCTGAAACTCCCCCGCCTCACTGCTGTCCGAGCCCGAAGGCAGCTGATGCAGAGTCCTCATCTGAGCCTTCCTCAGCCTCCAGGAATGGCCCAGGTTCCTCCCCAACCTCTTCACTACTATCCGACTCTGCTGCCACCTCTGCCAGCCGCCACCAGGCCACAACATTGTGAGGGATTATGGTGTACTTGGATATTTGACTCGGATCAGGAGCCACAATTGAGCAATGTAATTTGGCCCATTTGTGGGAGCAAGATGTGAGATCTTGTAATATCATCTGCCACAAAAGATTCAGGTACCAGAAGGAAAACCAACGAGGATGTTTCCAGCATGTCCTTCAACTTCTAGAAGAGTAGATACCAGCTGTTTTTATGTTTAAAGTTCACCTCTTTCAGGTATGACTTATGACAGGTCACTTAGCGACCATTCAAAGTTTTGAATGGCCTCCCCAAAAGATATTTATGACCTGGATTCAAAGTTCTGATGGTCACCCCTCCCTCCTGCAGTCAGGATCACATTTTTGGGGCGCTTGGCAACTAGTCTACATTTAAGGCCATTTGGGGCACAATTGTGGTTGTAAGTTGAGGACTGCCTGTAATTATAGGATTGTTCTATAATTGTCAGGATTCTGGCACTTAACCCCATTTAAATCTTGAGTCTTGAGCCAAACTTCCAAAACTTAAAAAGGATTTATTGGGAGTTAAACTGTCCAGCATTGCCTGGGTGTAGCCAACTCTGAGACACATCATTCATTGTCACCCTTGACCCTGGTTTTCCCTCCACCCCCTGGGTGTATCATAATTCATATTCTCCAATGGGACACATCTATAGCCAAGAGTCATCGACATGCTCTCCAGTTAGAATTTTGCACGGCAGAAACTTAGGTCACCTAGAAACTATCTCTGAAAGCATTTATGGAATGCAAGCTGCCGCATTGCTTCCCCCCTTCCTTTCTGTTGGCAACTCTCAAAAGACCATAGACATATTTCACGTTGACCTAATCAATCAGAAAATAAGATTCATCAAATTTATATATACAGGTAGTCCCTTATTTAGAGCAGTTCATTTAGTGATCGTTCAAAGTTAGAGCAGCCCTGAAAAAGTAGCTTATGACCGTTTTTCACAGTCACGACCCTTGCACCATCTCCATGGTCATGTGACCAAAATTCAGACACCTGGCATCTGGTTCATATTTATGACAGCTGCAGTATCCCAAGGTCATGTCATCAGCTTTTGTGTGCTTCTGACAAGCAAAGTCAATCGGGAAACCAGATTCACATAACAACTGGATTACTATCTTAACAACTGCATTGGTTCACTTAATGACTGTGGCAAGAAATGTCATAAAAGGGGGCAAAACTCACTTAAATGTCTCGGGTAGCAGCATAAATTTGGGGCTACACACACATATACACACAGAGATTTCTTACAACACAAAAATGAGTTAAGTGTACAGGAAGTGAATAATTATTTGATTGACTGTATGGAGGAAGGAGCCTGAGAGAAAAATGCCAATATTTCAGATGGGAATTAGACAGGAGCAGCCTGAGGTGCAGGATGTGGGTTAACTTAAACCATTAAGACCAGTATTTCTCAACCTTGGCAACTTGAAAACAGTCAAGAATGAAGGAGACAGCAGGAAGAATAGCAAGGATGCAGCACAAATCATTCTGCTAAAGGGAAGGAGAAGAACCAGAGTTGAAAGAAAAAATGCATTTTTGAATAAGCACATACCATCTGTTGCAGCGAATAGTTCGTAAAGCGCCTGAGCAAGAACATTCACAACAAAGGAATGAGACTTGTTTCTTGTCCAGTAGAAGGTCTTTTTGGCCTGCAAAAGATAAATTTCCAACAGATTGCTCCACTTGATATTCAATCAGATGAAAGGGGGTGGGTGGGGACGGGACGATTTCAAATATAAAACAAAAGGCGTACTTGAAGTTGTATAAAAGAAACTTTGAGACCTTCAATTCTTTATAAAAGAAAAAATATATGGATCTTACTTGCAGCAGAGCAGAGTCTTCATACAGGTCTGGAATGGTCTGTAGCAAACACCTCCAGATTTTGATGTCATTCAGAGCAACGCTCATTCCTCCACCTGTCAGAGGATGCCTCATATTGTAAGCGTCTCCTAGGAGGAGGACTCCTAAAAGAGAAAGAGTCCTAACATCAAAACTCGCACAGATGCAATTTTGGGGGATTTGATTTAAATGTTTGAAAGGCTTCTTTAAAACCCTCCATGCAAATTGTTAAGTGACCGGCTGGTAAAACTACAAGGAAGCCTCCATTTTAGCCGCCAACGGGGAGGATGGGGCCTCTGTTACCTCCAAATGTCAATTAAACTGCAGTGTCTTTCATGACGAAGTGCATCATTGCTTAGCGTTGTCAAATCCTACAAATGATCTCATCCGTGGCAGTTTGCATCAAACTCATGTAAATGGCTGTGAAACCGAAGGGAAGTGGCATAATGGCTCAGCAGTTAAGACATTGGGCTTGTCGGCTGGAAAGCCAGCAGCCCGGGTTCAAGACCCGAGCCGCACACAACGGGGTGAGTTCCCATCCTAGCAACAGCTCCTGCCAACTAGCAGTTCGCGAGTAGGTAAATAGGTACCCACTTCGGTGGGAAGGTAACAGCACTCTGTGACGGCATGCTGGCCACATGGCCGTGGAAATGTCTTCCTCGATGGCCTTGAAATGGAGATGAGCATCGCCCCCCTACAATCGGCAATGATTAGCCGAGTAAAATCCACAGAAACTCCTTTACCCCATAAGTGTAAAGATGTCATTATGCAAATGAGATAACTTGGGGCAAATGATGTACTATTAAATTACGGTTGAACTAAGTGGAACTGCCCTCCTGCAAAGCGGGTTTTCTCTGAGTCTCTCTGATGTACAGTCAATTATGAGTCAATTAATATTTCCACTCCAGGAATCCATATTAAAAAAATCTTTAATCAACCAAAGCCATTTTACTAATAAATGTATTCTGACATTTACTGTGGTACATACAGGGAGGAGGCCAACTTCATTGTAAAGAGAATTGCTCTAAAGGCTAAGGGTTATTAGCAATGGCCAAAAAGATTGGCTGAGGTGCAAAGAAATAGGCAAATAATTTTGTTTGCTCCAATTTCAGACCTTGTGATTCAAAAATATAAGGTCAACTTATGTCAGAAGTCTTTCAAAAGAGCCCCTTGGCTGAAAGGGCACCAGAAAGGAGCATTTCCCGGTTAAGGGGGTGGGGGGAGAGAACCATTCTGTGCTCCCAAGTCTTTTGTTAGATCTGGGGTGTGGCAACTTTAAGACTTCTGGACTTCCAGAATTCCCAGCATGACTGGCTGGGGAATTCTGGGAGTTGAAGTCCCCAAGTTTTAAAAGTTGCCAAGATTGGACAGCTCTGTGATAGATTGTGATATTTTCTGCATTCTCTGCTTTGTTCACAGACCTGCTTTATTGACAGGACAAGGCGGAAGAAAGCTTGCCGGCATGACTCTCAGACGTTCGTTCTGTACTGCTATGAGGAAAGGCTCTTGAAAGTGTTCTGTTAAAAAAAAAAAAAAGCAAGCAAATTTGGTGCATGAGTTTTAAAACAATTTGTCGTGCCCCCATCGGAGCCTGAATCTGTGGGAGAAGACGAGCTGGAATCAGAGCCATTGTCTTCGGAAGAAAATGGGGAAAGCCAGGGTCTTTCAGGATTAGAACAGCTTGTAGACAGGGAGGAGCAGGGGCAGGAGGAACATGAGAGACAGAGCTCAGGCAATGAGCAAGGACCACCCCCTCCTGATCCAAGAGCCCGGAGAGTGGAGAAGAGGCGTGAACAGCACAGACTGAGCAGGCTACTTGGGAGAAGACTGCCCCGCCCATCTTCATACAAGGCACACCTGGGCAGTGAGACTTAAGGAGATGCTGTGGGGATGGGCATTTGTCGGGAACAAACGCTGGCAACTTAGAGGACATGAAAGTGTTGAGTGCCAATGTTTGAATTTTCCAAGAGTCCTTGCATTCTTTCTGGCGTTCTGGACCAATTACCTGGATCTGTTGCTTCCTGGACTCCTTGATCTGCCCTGCTGGATTTATTGCTGTGCAGCCCTGGTGTGTACAGGGTTGGGCTGGACTAATTGCATCCAGAGGCTTCTTGAGGTTTGTGGGTGGGTTTGTTATCACTTTGCTCTGGGACTTGCCAGAAACGTGGGAGCATTTGGGGAAATTTGGAGCAATAAAGGGGTGGTTTGAACTGCCAGCTGTTTGTGTTATCTCTGTGCCATGCCCGGGGGTCGTCACACATTTGTCTTTGAGCCAAGATTAAGAAGAGAATGCACATAACAGAAAGAAGATCTCTGATAATCCAAGGTCAACTTCAGTTCTTCAGCTAAAACACTTTAAGACAGGGGTCGCCAACCTTTTGGACCTCAGGGACCACCAAACTCATAATTTTAGATCCCAGGGACCACTAACTGGTTCTGTGGGCGTGGCCTAATTTGTGGGTGTGGCTTGGTGGTCATGTGACTGCTAGGCATGGCTTGTATGTAAATATTATAAATATTTATATAAATATTGAATTTTTTATTAAAAAAAGAGCAACTTTTACCCAAAATCAGGCAAAGCAGGCAGACTGAGTTGCTCACAGAATCACAGATTCATTCAGAGATCTATCTAACTGCCATTGGCTAGCTCAGTCTGTCACATAAAATTTGCTTGCAAGCAAACTCACAAAATTAACTCACAACACACCATGCATGTAAATATTGAATTTTTTATAAAAAAGAGCAACTTTTACCCAAAATCAGGCAAAGCAGGCAGATTGAGTTGCTCACAGAATCATTCAGTGATCTATCTATCTGCCATCGGCTAGCTCAGTCTCTCAAATTTGCTTGCCGTGAGTCTGCACTGAATTTGCTTGCAAGCAAACCTTCAATCCTAAGGGAGGTTCGGCTGTGCTGAGCCGAAGATCTAAAGACTAGCTAGAAAGCAAGATATCCAACCATTTGCTGCTTCCCAGCTAATCTAAATCTCCCGGCACAGCAGAACAGATGATGGTCGGAAAAAGGAAAAATAGCAATTTAGCAGGCAAGTTTACCGGGTAAGGAGTGAGTGGGCGGGGAGGGTTCCCGCGGGCCATGTGGGCGGCACAGCCTTGTGTTTCTGCGCAGCCTGGATTAATTGCTTTGTGGGGGTGCGCTGGGGGTGAGATTTCTCTGCGGCCTACCAAAATTTTCTCAGGGCCCATTAGTGGGCCGTGGCCCACCGGTTGGCGACCGCTGCTTTAAGACAATGTTTATCCACCTTGACAGTTTTAAGGTATGCACACATCTTAAACTCTGTAGTTTAAGGCAGGGGTCCCCAACCCCTGGGCCACCGCCCACTTTTGGGCCGTGACCTATTTGGAATTGGGCTGTGCGAGTGGCTGGCCAGAGTGTGTGCACACAGTTCAAGTTGTGTGAGCAGTGGGCCAGCGGGCACTTACCCGCGTGCCGGCCTGCCACTCACACGGCCCAGTTCCCCTCTCTCCCCACAGCCAGGTCACCAAGCCACAAAGGTTGGGCCCCGCTGGATTAAAGTAGCCAAGATTGGGAAACACTGCATTAAGACAGGTGCCTAAACTACTATTCAAGTCACTGGCTTACAAATAGTTCTCAACTTGTGACCATTCATTTAACAAACATTCAACAGGGATTCAACATTATAATGGCAATGAATAAAGTCAGTTACAGCTGGTCCTCACACTTATGACTGTAGTAGTGTCTCTTTGGTCAGGTGATCACCATTTGCAACCTTCCCAGGGGGTTTCCAACATGCAAATCAATGGGAAAACCTGGGTCCACTTAACCACGTAATTCATGTAATGATCCCAGTGATTTTCTTAATAACCAGAACAAAAAAAGATCAGATGCAACTCATCAACTATGCTGACTAGCAACAGAAGTTCCTGTCTACATTGCAGTCATAAGTCGAGGACTACCTGTAAAGATATTAAGACTCCGTGCAAAGGTTACTGTTACCTGGCAGCTGTGTATAAATCTTTTCAACCATGTATTCCTTAAGATTTTTGGGCATTTCACCTCGAATGTCAACAAGAACTCGAGTTTCGTTGGAAGAAATCTGGTAGATAAGCACTGGGCTAGGATTTCCTAACACCAGCTCGGCGTAATTGGCTTTAAACTGAGGAGAATTCTTTATAGACAAAGAAAGAAAGAAAAACATTATTTAAAAAAAAACAACGAATTTCCCAGAACCTTCCTGCTTTGCCTTGACTGCAATGAGTAATTTTCGGCTGACAAATAATCCAAGGCTCATAGACTTTCAACAAAACTGAAAGTTCAAATACCAACAGGCTCTACCACAACCCATCACCAGGCTGAAAACATTACACTGAGCTGTGTTGTTTTCTCCCCACTATAATTTATTTTCCCTCTAACTCATGCCTGAAGATGATTCTTTGCAAACCAGTTTGAGAAAATTTGGAGTTGAGGAGCAGGATTAAACTGCTTTAAAGAAACGCACAAACGTTTCACTCAACAACAGAAACTTACAGTAAAGAGGAAATATATTTTATTGTTCATCTATTAACTGCAGCTAGAATTGTATTTGCTCAAAATTGGAAAAGCGAAGAGATTCCTACTGATGAAATGTGATTACAAAAATATTAGAATGTGCAGAAATGAATAGATTAACGTTGCAATTAAAGAGAAGGAACAAACTGAATATAATTATAAGTTATGGGAACTATTTTATCGATGGCTAGAGAAAAAATATGAAAGGTAGAAATAGCTAACAGATTAGTGAAATATAGAAAAAAGGTTTATGGAATTAAACATGTTAAGAAGAGGAGCGTTATAGTAATACACATTATTTATATTAATAAGATAAGAATAAGATAAGGACAGAGAATTAATACCAAAGTAATGAACATGGATGTAAATTTTAATTGTTATTCCACAAGATATTTGTATCCAGACGACACACCGTTAAAAGGAAGATGAGTTGTATGTACTTTAAATAAAATAAAAAATAATTACAAAAAAAAAAAAAAAATCACAGAAATGTTGGGCTCAATTGTGGTTGTAAGTTGAGGACTGCCTGTAATTATAACCACAACCGTCCAAATTTGATGATAATATTGCTTCGTGTTTTACGAAACCACTTACCTTCAAAATGCATCCTACGAAATGAGAAGGGACTTTCACTTTGCTGGAGATAAGATTTTTTCGAAACTTGGAAAACAGACCATCAGCAACTACCGTTAAGGGTGCGTGGAGTTCCTGAAATACAAAAGAAATAAACTTTAAACCATCAACGTTGATTTAAAGTTTGACAATGGACTCCAAAGCAAACACAAAATTGACAGGATGCTTCTTTTCAATATGCAAATGGTAATGATCATCACGATGCACAACCTTCACAGGTAGTCCTCAACTTTGACTGTAACTGAGCCCAGAATTACAGTCATGGAATCATAGAATAACAGAGTTGGAAGGGACCGTGGAGGGGGGCAGCTGCCAGTATTTCGAACCTGGTCATAATTAGCCCGGGGAGTTCCATCCTAACATTGAATGGTTGCTAAGCAAACGGTCATAAGTTGAGGACTACTTGTACCTTACTGGTTTTAACAGGCCAACCTGAAATGCAAAGTCGTATGTGAGGCACGAATGAGTGAATAATTTTTGAATGTTTCATTCTGCATTGAATTCTTCTCACCCACAATTTTCTCACAGATCTTTATATTCCTCAATCTACACCTTGCACACATCCCAACATCCACATTAAGTGCTTTGAAAACAATGATTCCATTGGAAGGTATATATTACTTAGCCTAATTCAGTTGCAGGATTTGGATTTGGCTAGTCCAGAGAAAAGAAGGACTAGGGGTGACATAGCAGTGTTCCGATATTTGAGGGGCTGCCACAAGGAAGAGGAAGGTCCACCTATTCTCCAAAGCACCAGAAGGTAGGACAAGAAGCAACAGATGCAAACTAATCAAGGAGAGAAGCAATCTGGAATTAAGGAGAAATTTCCTGACAGTGAGAACAATCAACCAGTGGAAGAGCTTGTGTTCAGAAGTTGTGGGTGCTCCATCACTGGAGGCTTTCAAGAACAGACTGGATTGCTAAGACCTTGTTGGAGGAGATGCCTTAAGGATTGAAAGACTAAAATATATTGCAATAAGACTTTAAGAAACAGATTTGGACTTTCTTTTTCTCTAATTGATATTACCCCAGGAGGAGAGAGTGGGAACTCTGTCTTGGTTTGGACTGACTGAGAACTTTGGGATTGTCTTATTTTTCCTTTGGAATATTCTGGCTGTTGTAAGAGAAAAGAAAAGAAAAGATTTATAATGGCTTCTTCTATCGAGGAACTGAGAAAAGATTATGAGCAAGCAAAACAAAATGGTAAAGCTGGTGTGAAAGAAGCCTTTCTTTTTTTAGAAATGGCGCTTATTAATTATCAACAAACATTGCAACAGATGAAGACAGCAGAAGAAGAACAAAGGGAGGAAGCCATCTTTAATAAATCTCAGAACTCGACCAAGAGGGAAGGAAGAGGAAAAAGAAGAGAAATAAAGGACTTAAGATTTAAAAAAACATTTAAGAAAGGGAAAAACAAGGTGCAAAATCAATATAAGGATGGTAAACAAAAGGGAAGAGAAATGCGACAGAGAAGGGAAGCCAGTAAGGCAGAAGCTAGAAGAAGGGGGGCTAGAAAGGTTTGTTGGGGGAAGAAAGAAAGGGAAAAGGTGGAGAAAAGCTACAAAGTTTTGAAATTAAATGAGAAAAAAGAAATTTTTTTTAGGGATGAAGGATAAGTATAATTTCTTCAAAGAGATTTTGCAAGGTACATAAGATGATATTGTAGTATTGTATCAGAAATAGAAAATTTAAATGGCTTGAGAGTTGATAAAAGATTAAAATGTTGGAATGTTAATAATGATTGGTTTGAAAATATAATATGAGGGGAGATTTAGAATATTAAACTTTAATTAAAGAGTTTATTAAGATTATGGTATTGATGTTATAATAAAACTTTCATTATAGTATTTTGTTTTTAATATTTAAATTTATTGCTTAACTATGTATTTAATTGTTTTAGATGTATTATTCAGTTAGAATGTACCAAGCAAAATCAGATTGGGTATTTTAAAGATTAATTTGATTAATTTAGTGGGGAGATAGAAAGGCATCATACTCTGATTAGTGATTTCAGGAGAAATTTCTTTCTTTTTAAAAGGAATGAGACAAAGGTATAATAGAGAATGGACAAAAGATATAAATATAATGACTCAAATTAAGATGATTAATTAAGATAGAATTAAGAAGAGTGAAATATGTGGAGAAGTTAATATAGAAGATTTAGAATGGTAAATAAAATAAGTAATGATATGTAAGATGAGCTGAATATAATTGAAGTCCATGAAAAGAGAGATACCTGGGTCCAAGTTACTTTCCAAAAAGATTTTTTTTATGTTTTGTGTGTTGTGTGATTATGTTGTTGTTTTTTGGGGGGAAAATTAATAAAACCTTGTAGAAATATAGAATGAGAACAATGGTAACTAAGTCAGAAAGAAGTAGATGAAATAATAATAATAAAATTGAATAAGAGTAAAGAGAAATAAAGGGAAATTGGATAAGAGGTTTTTGGTATGTTTATATGGAAATGGTTTAAAACAGAATTATAGTTTATCTGACTTGTTAAATTTATAATGGAAAAAGGTTTAAACATGTAATGGATAATGATGACTTGTGTGTTTTGAAAATCAATAAAACTTGTTTTTTTAAAAAAAAAAGAACAGACTGGATTGCCATCTGTCCTAAATGGTGTAGGGTCTCCTGCCTGGGCAGGGGGTTGGACTAGAAGGCCTCCAAGGTCCCTTCCAACTCTATTATTCTGTATTCTGTAGTGCCACGGCTGCCATTCAAAATGGCCTCCTCCTGCTGTACCTCAATGTGCTCGGGATTGCACAAGGCTTACACTCTTGAAGTGGCTTCAGAGAATGCTCTTTTGTGGTCTCTGCACGGTCCCAAAACTGCACACAAACGCATTCATGTGCCGTTTTCAGAGGGTCTGAAGGCTCCTTGAGAGCACAGCTCTCTCACACAACTTCCGAGGCTGCACAAGACCATGCCTCATTCTCACATGGCCTCCAACTTCTAAAAATCATGCTCAAATGGGATCTGCCTTCAAGAATTGTCCTTGTCGGCTGCTGGTGCATGCTTGCGTCACCCAAAATGTGTCACCTTTGACATGCGTGTCACCTTTGACATGCATGTCATGGGTTCATCATCACTGTAATAAGCAATCCCCTGAACCCAGCTTGTTTAAAACTGACATAGTATCCTAGAACACTGGAATAACCAGAATGGCTGGAAAATCTCACCTTTGTATCACCAGTTTCTTTATCTTTATATACGATTCCAGCTACACATTCCTCTTCTTCAAGTAACTGTACCACTGTCCCCTCAATAAATTTTGCACTGAAAAAAAGCAGATTTATTTAAAAATGCATACATTTTATTGTGTTGGATTGAAATGGGCGCCTCTGTTTAGAAATGTTGCAAGTTGGAAAGTATTTCTTCTCTCTTTTCTTTTTAGTCTGAACTAAAGACTAAAACTAGAGAGCCTTCTTGAAACAGACAAAGTAATCTAGCCTGACTGCCAGGTTGATATAATGGTTAAGTTGCTAGTCGGAACAGGGAAATCTAGTTCACTGTGAACCACAAAAAAATTGTTCATTCTCTCTCTGTACCCCTCTTTTTCTACGTGTGTGATTTTAATTTTCATATGAAGTACTTTCATATAACTTTTCATATAAAGTACATGCAATTATATTCAATCTTAGACAAAACAGCTGTTAAAAAAAAAACTGGACTTCTGAAGTAAAAAAGAAAAGAAAAGGAAGAAGATGTTAAAATGTCATCCGTGAAAGAAAATAGTGTAAGAAAAACATGAGGAAAGAGAGAATAACCATGTGCTGTCAGGTTGGTATGTTCTAGGAACCATTCTAGACCGGGGAAGGGAGGGGCAATTAATTTTTCCAAGAGGCCAATGAGAAACTTGTCAGGAGCTGCGTCTACCCCGCCCCCATTGCTGCTGACGCCCCGCCCCCTGCACCTGCCCTGATGCTGCACCAATTCCCAATCCCAATGTTGACCTGGTGCTCTGCTCCCACAACGTCCCACCTCCAATTGCTGCTGCTGGCCACAGTCGAACTGCCCACAGGTCAGATGTGGCCTGTGGGGCATGAAATGCCCAGGTCTGATCTAAGTAGACCTTCTTCAAGATCGTGTGTCCTGAGCCTGGACTTTCAGGTCTTCCAATAGTGCGCGAAACATACCATTCTTTATCTAGACGTTGTTTCTAAACCTTGGCCATTTGAAGATGCGTGGACTTCAGTTCCCAGAATTCCCTACCTAGCTGGCTGGGGAATTTGAGAATTGAAATCCATACATCTTAAAATGGCCAACCTTGAGAAATACTGCACTAATTTGAGAGCCTAGACCAGTCTTTGCGAACCTTTTCAGCACCGAGGACCAAAATGGGAGTGCCGGAAACTAGAAGAGTAACTTCCCGGCACAGGAAACCGGAAGAGCAGCTCCTCAGCACACATGCTTGTGCCGGGAAGCTGAGCTTCTGGTTTTTGGTGCGCACATGCGCATCAGGAAAGTGTTCTTCTGGTTTCTGGTGCTTCCGCATGCACAAAGACCAGTATGCGTGCTGGAACCCAGAAGAGCAACGGGCGACAGCTGGCATGCTGGGAGGAGAGATGGCTCTGCATGCCACTTCCAGCACGCATGCCACAGGTTCACCATCACGGGCCTAGGTCAACCTCTGTCCTCTGAAGATGTTTCTATAAATCACTTTTTCTTTCCATCGTATTTAACAAGGTTCTTTCTTGATATTAGAGTTGCTACTTACAGGGAGAACTTTGATTCAGAGTGCCTGGAACATTCACATAACACTTGCAAAAGCATGTTAATTTTTTCCCCCAGGAATGCACTGTGGTTGGGAGGGCAATCCCATGAACCCAGGAAAAGACACAACTGCTTTAAGGGGCTTCTGACAGATGCAATGCACAAATTCAAGTGTACTCCGAGACCTATCCCTCTCTTCAAATCCAATCCATTTTCTGGACTGATTATAGCTTACAAGATATAAGGGTTTATTTTACATTCAATTTCGACAATTTATTTTTTGCTTTCAGGTTGTCAGTATGCTAAAAATGACAAATTAGGCCTCAACAGGAGTAGCCTGTTTTGTGACACTGGCGATTCAAACGGCAAAACAAAACAAAAAGGCTTATGGAATAACTTCTAGGAGTTTCATTGACAGAACATATAAAAACCAATCCAACTGATATTGCAAATGCTTCTTCTGGTTAACTCCAAACTATTCTCAAATGCAACGAATAAAAGAAAAGCACATTTAAAATGAAAAATAGATGGAGGCATCTTAAGAAGACCCTGTTAGCCATGTGGCCTAACCTATTTGTGTTGTGACTTTAGATGATTAAACTTACTTGGGTTCCGACATGGCTGCCCTTCGGAGACCCATGATGAAGCGTCCATGATGAAATGCTTTCCCGTTCTGCACTTGCCCAGCTGCTGTGCAAGGGTAAGGGATCTCAACCTCTGCCTTGTTTTCAAGGTTATGAACAATGTAGCCATTTATTGTATGAGCATCTATACCTTCCACAGCATCTGCAAAATAAATGAATAAAGGAGGAAGTTTTAGGAGGAGCCAGCTAACTTTAAAACATGCATCTGCAGTGTACTTTTCAAACAGACAGTTATATCTCCCTAAGAACATCTTAAGGAGATATTTACGCACGTGAGATCTGAGCAGCTTGACACAATGGTCAGATATGGGGGAATTCCATTCTATAGTCCCTACAATGGACGTCTCTGCATTTGCAGAGCGGCAGATGTAGAAGACCTGGCTCACATCCTATTTGATTGTCGCCTATATAAGGTGAGAGGCAGGTAAACTCGGTCTGTATACCAAACAAATGACCCATTGGGATCCCCATATCAAAATAATTTACCTTATGTGCGGCCAGAATCTGAAAATAACATTTAACACAGCACTGTACTTGAGCAAAATGGTTCGGTTGAAATTGGTATATGTGGGACTGATTGGGGTAGATTGTAGGGGTGACACTGAAATATAATGTTATCATATTTTATTTATATATTATTGTATTTTATTCCAATTTCTTTGAAAATCATATTTTATTCCGATTTCGAAAAATACGAAAATCGTATTTTATCCAATTCTATTTTAAATTGTTTTTATCAGATTTTAGTAATAATTTGTGTCTGGAATTCTGCACTTTGATATGGCCCAAGAACTAATCAATAAGGTAAACGAACACATCTAGGGTGACTGGTATAGCCCAGGGCAACTATACGATCTGTGGCCTTCAACACGCAGAATTCCTGAGCCAGCATTGCTGGGAGCTTGAAGTCCACAGGTCGTAAAATTGCCATAGTTGCCCACCCTGGGATATACAAAATCAGGATTCATAACACAGCAGCCTCTCAGCCAGTCTGAATGGAGTCAAAGACCGAGATTGAATCCAGTTTGGATTCAGGTCTAAATGAAGTTCAAGTTCAAATGCTTTTTTTCTTTTCTTCCCCCATGTAGGCTTTAGCTCCTGTAATCCAGAAATTTTCTGTTTTTTCCACTTCTGGATAGGAAAAAAAAAAGCATTGTTCTTTTGAAAGGGAAATAGGGAATTTCCCGGGAAATAGAAAAAGGACTTACTATCCCCAAGTTTGGGTATACCATGTCCATAACCGCTCTGGCAAATAGCAGGGATTATCTCCAGGAGCAGGGAACCTTGTTTCTGCATTTTGTTGTGGTGGTGGTTGCTGTGATGCTAAGTCATGTCCGACTCCTTGCGACCCCATGGACCACGGCGTGGGGACCCCCCGCCCTCCACCGTCTCCCAGAGTTTGCTCAAATTCATGTTCATTGCATCCATGGCAGAGGTGGTATTCAGCAAGTTCTGACCAGTTCTGGAGAACCGGCAAATGCCACCGCTGACTGCCCCGCCCCCATCTATTCTCTGCCTGATCAGCTTGGTCTTCTTTTGTTGCCCTGCACAGGAGAATGGAGCTGGAAAGCAGGTTAGTGGGGTGGGGAGGGGAGGGAGATTTTGCAGTATCCTTCGTCTGCCATGCCAGCAGAACCGATAGGACTGTGTTTCTCCAACAATACCCCCCCCCCATAGGAAGGCCGAGCACTGTTTTATAGGCATGAAGTGAAATTAAGCCCCGCCCCCAAAATTTGGGCCTATTTAAACCATGCGTTCCCTGCCATTTTTCACATCACTTGAACTACACAGGGTGAAGAGAAACGGGGGGGAGGGGGGAATTTGCCTTTAGGAGCGCCCTGCAGGTAGCCTCAGCTAGAGCACCCCACAGACAGACTCGCCTCTACTGGCCGATAGAAGCACCCCAAGGGCAGAGCCACCCGCCGCTTCTATCGGCCGTTAGGAGCGGCCTCGTGGCGAGGCGTGGCTGCCCACGGGGCACTCCTAACGGCCAATAGAAGCGCCCGGAGAGCAAAGTCACCAGCCACTTCAATCAGCCAATAGAAGTGGCCTCATGGTGAGGCGTGGCTGCCCGTGCGGCGCTCCTAATGGCCAATAGAAGTGCCCCGATGGCAGAGTCACCAGCCGCTTCAATCAGCCGATAGAAGTGGCCTCGTGGAGAGGCGTGGCTGCCCGCGGGGCGCTCCTAATAGCTGTTAGGAGTGCCCTGTGGGCAGCCACGCCTCGCCACGAGGCCGCACCTATTGGCCGATAGAAGCGCCCCGAGCGCAGAGTCACTAGCGGCTTCCATCTGTGTTAAATATGCCAGAAATAAGTTTATGAATTGAATTTCCTTAACATTTAACTGTCAGTTTAATGCTTGCATTTGCACAATGTACTAAATTTAAGGTTTTAACTTTGCTTATTTTTATTATTTACCCTGTTACACAACTTAGTTGACTTCTTGGTGAACTTATAATGTATTGATTAATCCAAGAAAATAGATTACAGTATAGTAATTCCATAACAAAGCTAGATGTGCTGTGCAAGCACAGGGATAACATTCAAGGATATTTCCAGATATTTGTTGTGCAATTATTCTGGCATATTTAACATCAAACACAGTTCATCAGTCTGTTTGAAAACTATTCTGCAGCATTTTAGAGTAAATTAATAACTCTATTGGCTTCTTCGATGATTATAGGTACCAATAGTCCTTGACTGTTGTGTTCATTTAGTGATTGTTCAAGGATTATTGTGTTCATTTAGTTCAAGGATATTTCCAGTTATGTGTTGTGAAATTATTCTGTCATTTAAATGAATATCTAGATTTCATCATACTCAACTCATCAATTTATATTTTCTGCTTCTTCATTTTTTTCTACAATAACAAAAATCCATTGAAAAATAATAGGTGAAATAACTGCAGTGTGTTTCCGACTGGCAGCATTAGCCACTCTTTTTTTTTAAAGGATCCAACCAGGCATGCAATAGGAATGAAATATATACATGCCTAAATATGGGGTGAGCAATCCTGTCACTAGATCAGGGACAGCTTAGTAGTTCAACTTTGTGCTTGGCCACAAAGTCTCTTGAATGACTTGGATCCATGCACTATTCTATCTTACTTTTTGTTTGAAAATTATTAATTAAAGAAGAATGCAGTACCACCACCACCCCACTTTGGAGGAAGGGTAGAATAAAATGCAAATATATATTAGACTTGTGATAATTTGGACTCTGGGGAAAAGTAACATACATGCAAAAAAACCCACTTCCTTTGTCTATGAATATTGTAATATTTAAGTTATTTTAATGTCCTGGAATATCTACCATAGGAATGGGGGATTTAAGAGATGTGTATCGTCTTATTCTACGGGCAAACTACAGGAACGGGGCGAGGTAGGTACCGTATTTGCACAAAGCACGCCGCACACTACAAAGTCTGTGTAGAAGCCAAAACTATATTTGTGGATTCCCCTTGTACTGTCTGAAAAAGAGATGCCAAAATACCCCATCAACCACACAAGGGAGAGCTGAAGACGGACTCACCACCTGTCCGTGGTCGGCCGCAAGCAAAACCTTGAGAAGAAGGTAGGAGAAAGGTGGGCTGTTTAGCTCGCAGTTTTATGGACAGCAATCTCCATGTTCCTCCTCGAAGCATACCTTCCACCTCGAAGACGCTAGTGGATGGCAAGGGGCACAAAGATCCCCCCAACCTCCCTTTCAAACCAAGCAATTGAGTCAACTGTGAGTTCCCTTAGTTGGCAGCCTAAGTGGAGGGGCCCGGAACCGCCCATCGCAGGTGATAGATTAGCTTCTTTAGCGACCCTCCTGGAAGGGAGGATACAGTGTCCGGATTGCATTGTCCCGCGACACTCCTGGGACTCTGTCCAAGTGGTTGCAGTGGGAAATCGGGGGCTGGGAGGAAGCAGGAGGAGGGAGGGCGGGAGGAAATAGGGCTATCTGAGGGGATGAAGAGCGGCTGGCTTGGGAAGCAGAAATGCAGCGGGAATCTTGGGGTCGTCTGATATTTACTCTGACGATGGTATATGTATGCGATTGAGTTTGCCATTGGGAACCCGATGCGTAGCCATGCCTCGCCACCAGCCGCTTCTATCAGCTGATAGAAGCGGCCTCATGGCAAGTTGTGGCTGGCTGCGGGGCATTCTAGGTGGGGGTGCACATGGGGGGTGGGGAAATTAAGTCACCCCTATAAAGAAGGACTAGCCATTTTTTCGGGGCTCAAAAAAGAATAAGGCCCAGCCTTATTTTATGAGAAACACGATAAAAAAATGTGAATCCCACCCACTGATCCATGACAGTATCTACCCATTTCATCTTCTGCTGTCCCCTTCTCCTTTTGTGCCTTCGGTCTTTCCCAATACAGTAGAACCTCTGGTCATGAACGCTTCTGACCACAACCAAATCAGGTTCCGACCAAAAAATTCACATTTTTTTTTTTTCATGGCCAATTTTCCCTTCCACGCCATTTTTTTTTTGTAAGCACCAATTTCCAAAATTAGGTTCGGGTGACGACCAAATTGGGTTGCGACCAAAGTAATGGAATGAATTATGGTCGTGACCAGAGGTTCTACTATATCAGAATTTTTTCCAAGGACTCCTCTCTTCTCATTTGGTGGCCAAAAGATTTGGGCTTCAGCTTCAATCTCTGTCCTTCCAAAGGACAATTAGAGTGGATTCAATCTCCTTGCAATTTCAAGAGTCTTCAGCATTAGGTTACTATCTACTTAAACATGTTTTATTTTAATTACTTTTTCACTGTTTTAATTATTTTAATTACTTATTCGCTGTATTTATTTAAGTGAATTTTTCTTTACATAAAAGTTCAGCAAATGTATATATAGACTTTTATCCATATACAGATAGTCTTCAACTTACAACCATAGTTGAGCTTGGAATTATGGTCATAACTCATGCTGGTCATTAAGTGGGTCATCACATAACTGCGCCCGATTTTATGACCTTTTTTGGGGTCATTGTAAAGCAAATGAAGCTGTCATTAAGTGAACATCATGGACATTAAGCAAACCTACTGTTTGCAATGGGAGTGGGTGTTTTTTTTTTTTTTGCTGGTAACAAGAATTAAATGTTAGTTTCTGGTTAAAAAAAAGTTGTAATGTGCATCACATGACTGCAGGACATTGCAAATGACCATAAATGTGGATCATAACTTTGAATGGTCACTAGGCAACCAATTGTAAATCTACCTATACCTGGTTGAGTATGAAGCTGATCCTTATTGTCTCTCTATTGCAGGGGTGGGCAAACCTTTTGGCTTGGGGGCCGCATTGACTTTTAAAATTTGACAGACGGGCCGGGTCAGCACAAGATTTTTTGGGAATCGCCCCCCCCTTCCCCTCCCTCTTCTCCTCCTTCCCCTCCCCTTGGAGGCCCCCTGAGTCAGGAGTTGCTACCGCCGGCGCAGCTCCGGTCCCGCATTGCCTGGGGAAGGGAAAGGCAAAAGGGAAGAGCCGCGGCGGTGCTTTGCAACGGGAGCAGCGGCATCGGAGGCTCAGGCTCAGTGGCTCCTGGTTTTGCCTTTTCCTTCCCAAGGCAACGCGGGACTGGAGCCGCGCGGAGCTGCGTCAGCGGTAGCAACTCCTGACAGCCCCAGCCAGACACCTGAGCGGAGCCCGGGCAGAACTGCCTGTTGCTGCTGCCGGAGCATTGCCGGGTCACCTCCTCCAAGCAGCCCGCCCGCCGGGCTTCCCCTCCGCCGCATGGCTCGGGGCCAGGCCCGAGCGCCCGCGAGTTAAAAGGAAGCCGGAAGTTGCTGGGAAGTTGCTCGGGTGCTGGGAGCAGGCTTTTAAAGTGCCGCCCGAGCAAAGTTTAAGCAGCCCGCCCGCCCGCCGGGCGGAACCCTTCCCGCTCCTCGGCGGGAAGACGCTCCAGCCTGCAAACTTGGAAGTTTTGGAAGACGCTCCAGCCTGCAAACCAGCCTGGAAGCCCCGGAAAAAAAAGGGGGATCGGCGGGGACTCACCTTCGGAGAGGTCGCACTCGAAGGTGATTTCGAACTCCCAGCCGAGGCCTTTGCAAAGTTCTTTTCTTTCCTACCCCGAGAGCGCTCCGCACTGTTTTGCAGCTTTGGGGGCCACGCGGCACAGGGCAATACGCCACGCCCAGTGATTTGTTTTCAGGGGCGGGCCGGATTGGACAGACCAACGGGCCGGATGCGGCCCGCGGGCCGTAGTTTGCCCACCCCTGCTCTATTGCCTCTATTTCAAATCATTGCACTTAACTTTCCTTCAGGGTAATAGGTGAAAAAGTCAAATTTGAAGTTCCTCTTGGACCGTTTTGGAAAATTCCTCTAACACTTGTACAGCCAAAGACCATTTACACTGTATCACTGGTACCCTGGGAGTAAGACAATATCATAAGGAAATAGCATAGAAAAAATGTCCGGGAATGTTTAATCTAAATCAGGGGTCCCCAAACTTGGCAACTTTAAGACTTGTGGACTTCAACTCCCAGAATTCTGGGAGTTGAAGTCCACAAGTCTTAAAGTTGCCAAGTTTGGAGAGCTCTGATCTAAATATTTATATGTACAGGTAGTCCTCGACGTATGACCACAATTGAGCCCAATTGTTAAGTGAGACGTGCTAAGGGAGTTTTGCCACCGTTTTATGACCTTTCTTGCCATAGTTGTTAAGGGAATCACTGCGGTTGATAAGTTAGGAACGCAGTTGTTAAGTGAACCTGGCTTCCCCATTGACTTTGGTTGTGAGAAGGTCGCAAAAGGGGAATCACATGATTTTGGGACACCGCAACCGTCATGAATTAGGAACCAGTTGCCAAGCACCTGAATTTTGATCACATGACCACGGGGGTGCTGCAACATTGTACCTGTGAAAAACGGTCATAAGTCACTGTTTTCAGTGCCATTGTTAACTTCAAACGGTCACTAAGTGAACCGTTGTAAGTTGTGGACTACCTGTAAATAGACCCAAAGGAGGGAGAAAAAAAACATGAATATGATGGTGGGATGAAGAAGAATAAAATATCGCTCTGTTCAAGTTCAAAATCACACATTTTGCTTCCCTACATTGAGGGCCATAGCCAGCAAGCAATGTTAATGGATGATCTTATCCATGTTTCCGCTTCTAGCTATAAAAGCTTTCCTCTGTCAAGCAGGTTTCTCTATCTTGGTTTTCCATCTTTTGAATTTTCTCTTTTTTTCAATGTTAATTCTGAGCCATGAATTTAAGGCAAGTTAGACTGTACAATTGGTTTTTTTGTTCCCAGGATGACGGACACAAGAGGAGGAGTTTTATTAGTATTGCTTGTTTTCTGGCTTTTGTAATACAGGTAGTCCTCAACTTACAACAGTTCATTTAGTGACTGCGAAGGGATAACACACTGAAAAAGGGGCTTATGACCGTTTTTGTCACACTTATGACCACGGCAGCATTTTCCTTGGCCATGCGGTCAAAATTCAGACCTTTGGCAACTGACTCAATATTTATGACCGTCGCCAGAGTCACGCGGCCAATTTTTGCGACCTTCTGACAAGCAAAATCAGTGGGGAAGCTGGATTCACTTAACAACGGTGTTTCCAACATAACCACTGCAGGAAGGGATTCAGTTGTGGCAAGAAAAGTTGTAACGTGGGGCAAAAAAAACCTCACATAATAAACGCTTCACTTAGCAACAGAAATGTCGGGCTCAACTGTGGTCCTAAGGCGAGGACTACCTGTAATTACAAGAATACAAGGTAGAGACAGAAAAGCTGACAATCAGGCTGTTGAGTGAGTTTCAAAAACTTGCTCTTCGTGCATTAATTCCCAGAACTGTGAATGAAAGACAGAAGTGTTTTTACCAGCAGTTAATATACCTTGAAGGCCCAGATCTTTTAGAGTGTTATAACCTCCTGGCTGTAAGAGTTCTCCAACAATCCTATCAGGTTCCTTCAAATCCCGCTCAATGACCGTCACTTTCCTTCCATCCCGGGCCAGCACCGTGGCCAGAGCAGAGCCGAGCACACCAGCCCCCACGATGATCACTTCTGGATCAGGCTGAGCAGCGGCTGTCAAAGCTGAATCGGTTTCTGTTCTACTGTCAGGTGAAGGAATGACTCCTCTTGTACCCTGTCAGAAAGGAGACAAAGCAAAGGCATTTGAGCTGGTACAATGGCCATACAATATGCAGCAGATTTAATGACACTCAGGCACGCAGTGGCTCATACGGTTAGGACGCTGGGCTGACAATCAGCAGGCCCGCGTTCGAGACCTGGTTACTGCTGTGGGATGGGATGACATCCCGTCCCAAGGTCCAGCTGCTGGCGGCCCAACAGTTCGAAAGTAGGTGACTGTGAGTAGATGGATGGGTACCACTTTGCCAGACAACTTAAATGAGGGCATGAAAGGAGCTCCCAACTGGGCATTCCTCAGGCAACCTTTCAGTCCTTTCACAATCCAGAAACCGTTTGGTACTCCCAATACAATTATAGTAGTACAAGTCGTCCTCAATGTACAACAGTTTGTTTAGTGATTGTTCAGTTACAATGGAAAAATGTGACCTATGACAGTTTTTTACACTTACGACTGTTGTAGCATCCCCATCATCACATCATCAAAATTCAGACCCTTGGCAATTGACTCATATTTATGATGGTTGCAGTGTCCTGGGGTCATGTGATCAGCTTTTGTGACTGTCTGGCAAGCAAAGTCAACAAGGAAATGAGATTCACTTAACAATCCTGTTACTCATTTAACAACTGCAGTGATTCACTTAACGACTATGGCAAGAAAGGTCATAAATCGGGGCAAAATTCATTTAACAAATGTTCTCACTTGGCAACAGAAATTTTGGGCTCAATTGTAGTTTTAAGTTGAAGACTCCCTGTAGTCAGACTCAGTTTAAAGCAGTCTAAATTCTATGTCACACTTAAAAACTGTATTTGAGGGGTATTTTGGATGTATTTGGATAACCACAATATCTACCCCACAACCTTAGGGCTTATGTACCTGCATCAGATAAAAGGAGGCATGTCTCTAAATACACCATATGTGGGACCACATCACTGAACACGTAAGGCCATTTTCGGTATTTGGGTGCCAAGAAATGGAATGAAATATGAGAAAAGAAGAAGTCGTCTCTGATTTTGAACATTCACAATTCAAAGGTCAGGAATTAGATTTTTCAGAGCACCAGTACAACAGCATAGTAAAATTCTTGGCAATTTCCCCTGTTTTCTGGCCTCTTCACGTTTAGAATTTCTGCCCTCAGGTTAGTAGATTGTTTCAGATAATTCCAAATACTGTTTTGTCAGATATTTCTGTTTCACAGTCTAGGTAAACTGGTTACATCAGAATTCTAACATTTTACTGGGCATATCTTGCAGATATTTCTTCCTACAAGACTCGATTTCTTCAAAAAACTGCACAGTTACACAAATAGTCCTTTGGGCTATTCCCATGCAAATAAGCAACGTTAGGTGGAGTGAAGGAAAGGAATAAGCAACAGCAAGTCAAAGAAAGTAAAGGCTTAAGATAATAAAAGGAGCTACAGCTGAAACTGGTTTATATCACCATTCACTAAGTCTCTACTTTTTATGTTGCAAACCACCTTTGCTTCCATCAAAGCCATAAGCAACATCATACACTGCCTCTTGGGTTTTTTTTCTAAAATTTACCTCTCTCACAAATCTTCGTTTTGCTGTGTTGTTCATCATCTGGGTACCACTTGCAATCTCTCACTCCACTTTTGCTGTCGAGCGCAATTCTTCCATTAATTTTCAAATCTGCACTTCTTATGCAACACGCAACCTATCTCAGATAAGCTATAAATCACTCAACGATTTGACTTCCTTTGCATAGCAAAGTTCATGCTGTCAGGGTTCCAAATATACCTATAGCAAACAGAACTTTGAGGCAAGCAATTTCCTCAGAGAACACTTTGGATATTCAGTGGAACCTCAGGTCGCGAACGCTTCTGTTCGTAACCAAATCAGATGACGACCAGAATTTACGGCAAAGTTTTGTTTCTGGTCGCGAGCACATCTTTGGGTGGCGAGGGGACACAGCCGCAGCGATTTTCCCTGCCATGGCAATTTCCCCTTTGGCCCCATTTTTTTTCATCCACACATGCGCAGACAGTCATGCTTCCAGTCACAACCAAGTCGGGTTGCAACCATAGTCCTGGAACAGATTACAGTTGCGACCCGAGGTTCCACTGTATCATATTGACACAGGCTGGGGAAAACCAACTCTCAAGGTTCCCGCAGTTTTCAGCTAATTAAAAGTAAAGTTTTTCCCCCATCCCCAAACAATCAGTCACCTAGTCTAATCAGGGCACTGTCCAGTTGCTTGGTAACATCATTCCTCCTCTCTTCAGCCACCTGTTGGAATGTCCTTGGTTCTCAGGGGAAACTATTTTGTTTTGGCTACACAACTGCAGCTATCTCTATTTCTCCCTGCCTATCCCTCAGCACCACTGTGGCAACACTGAAGCCTCCAAGATGAGCTCAATCAGGCCAGCTTCAGAGTTGACACATGCATATTCATGTTTCCAATCAGCTCAGTTCTAACACCGTAAGGATTCCTTTAACTTCAACTGACAAATATATTAAATGCCCACGGAAACATTATACATCCTTCTTTTCTTGCCTGCTTAAGATCAAACCATTTGCTCCACTTTCAACCACACTTCACTTCCATCATACAAACACTTAACACACCCAGCAATCAAACTCAAGTTTCTTTGCTTATGTTTATGTTTTCTAAATCAATATTTCTTAAACATTTCTCTCTCAGGACTTTCCCACTTTTAAAAATTATGGAGGACTCTTAAAAGAGCTTTTGTTCTTATGGGTTATATTTATTAATATTTACTGCACTAAAAAAGAAAACTGAAGCATTCCTTCAGTGTTTTTCTTTACTAAATCTTGTAAAAATAACAATATTAAACCGATTAGATATTATCACAAATATTTTTCATGGAAAAAACCTGGTGGCAGCCAGTGGCAATAAGGTATGCAGGCCATCAAAAAGACAGAGATTGGGGGAGAGATAGGCAGGTGGGGTAGTTCTAGAGTATATATATTTTTTCTTTCTTTCCTTGTCTTCATTAATTCATGCTCAACATTATAAACATTATTATATACAGTACAGTCCACATTACAATCTTTCTTTCATATGGTCATCCACAAACGTGCCTGTGGATTTTAACCTCTATTGTTCACCATAGCTTTAGCCAAAGGCTTCCAAATAGGTAGTCCTCAACTTACAATGGCAATTCCATCACAACCCTTAGCAACCACAACTCTTAGCAAACCAAACTCCAATCCCTGGAGTTCCAGTTGCCACATTAACCAAATCCCACAGTCATTAGATGAGAGAGTTCCCTGACAGATTCCCACGACTAAAGTCAGTGGGGAGCTGGCAGGAAACTGTAAATCCCAGGTCAGTGGGCATGTAAATGGCTGCTGCTGGATTGGGGGAGAGGAATGTGAGGAATGTGGGGGAAGGTTGCGCAGGGCATGAGGGAATGCGCATGAGAACGTAGATCAGGGAAGGTGCGCAGGACTGCAAGGAAGGAATGGGAAGAGTGTGCGTAAATGCACAAGTGGGTGGGGTGCAAGCACAGAGGGGCTGGGGGACAATGCGTGGGTGGGACAGACTTACTACAGCAACTTGTGACTATTTATTCATTTATTGGATTTATATTGCCGCCTATTCACCCATGGCGACTCGAGGCGGCTTAAAGAATGTAAAACCATATTTAAAATTTAAAAAAAACAATAAAAACTAACAAAAAGAATCGAATAAATTAATAAAGTACAATAGAACAAAATCTGGAAAAAAAAAAAAATCACCCCTCGCCCCGACAACAGATCACATGAGCCATTTGATGGGCTCCATCCCGCTCTGGATTCCCCAGGCCCGCTGGCAGAACCAGGTCTTCAGTGCCTCCCAGAAGAGTATTAGTGAGGGGGCCATTCTAATCTCTGGGGAAATGATGTTCCATAGAGAGGGAGCCACCACGGAGAAGGCCCTTCTTCTGGGTCCCACCAGGTGTATCTCGCTCAGGGATGGGACCTGCAACATTCCCTGCCTCTTCACTCTAATGGGTCGGGTAGATGTAACCGGCAGGAGACATTCCCTCAGATAACCTGGTCCCAAGCCATGAAGGGCTTTAAAGGTGACAACCAGCACCTTGAATTGCACCTGGAAGCAAATTGGCAACCAATGCAGCTCCCGCAGGAGAGGTAAAACATATGCACACTGGGGTCTGCACAAAACCATGCAGGCCGTTACATTTTGCACCAACTGGAGCTTCCGGGTGTTCTTCAAGGGCAGCCCCATGTGGAGCGCATTGCAATAATCAAGACAGGAAGTAACTAGGGCATGAATGACTGTGAGTAGGGACTGTTGGTCCAGGAAAGGGTGTAACTGGTGCACAACCTGCAATTGCACAAAGGCCTTTTTGGCCACGACCGCTACCTGCTCTTTGAGCAGGAGTCGTGAGTCCAGGAAAACCCCTAGATTACACACTAGGTCTGTTTGGGGTAGTGCCACCCCATCCAAGACCACTGACGTTTTGGGGGAGCTAGCAGGAAGGTTGCAAATGGTGATCACCTGATCACGGGGCAGCACAACCAATTTTAAGTGTAAACCGGTTGCCAAGCACCAAGATGGCGATCATATGACCACAGAAATACTGGGACAGCCAAAACTCCAAGGACCGGTTGTTAACACCCAGTTGTTCAGCGCCATGGTAACTTTGAACAGTTGCTGAACGAATGGTTGTAGGTCAAGAACTACTGTATAACTTTTTGTACAACTAGATTGCCAGGTTTAAATATATCAATGCACCATTTCCTGCTAATGGTAAGACACAGCCCTGATCAGTTTGACACATCTGGTTAATGTACCACATATGCAAGCAAAGTCATTTATTCCAAAATACTCCCATTATTCTATGTAAGCCAGAACCTCTTACCAAACGAAACTTTAAAACTTAACTTTTTTTCCCCCACTTATCACCTAGAAGGAACGTAAGTGTTCTGGCACTCTAAATACAAGTGGCTGTACCAAGGAAAACCAGTGGTAGAATTACATTGCATGTAAATATACAAATGTTCAAAAGCAATGAAAAATGGCTTCCTGCCATATTTAATTTTCAGCACCTCAGAGAAAACTTGTTTTGTTACTAACTTGTTTTGCCGATGGACATGTATTTGATGTATCATACTGAAAAGTAGAGTTCACTAACTATAAATTTACTGACTGAATTTACTTTAAAATGTATTTATTACAAATGGGCTTATAAAGTGCTGAATCATGAGGAACTCGTTTTTCATTTGTGCCTCTTTAGAAGTAGCAGATAAGCAAAGCATTAGTAGTGACTGTCGAAGATCCTATTCTTTGGTTCTCATCTCAAGTCTACGGGCTCTAAGAATTCATAAACTGCTCCTTTCTAAGTTCCCCACTATCACTAATGGCTGACCGAATGCATGAAATCATGCCTGTTGGGTTAGGAAAACTACCACAGATTTCATTCAAGTTTTAATTGTTTCATGGCCTTTGCACCCAATATAAAATATATTTGATATTTCAAATTTTGTAACTATAGTCTAGTCCAGAGATTGAGAGGCACAGTGGCCAAGAGGTGAAGACGCTCGCCTCACACTTGGGAGGTGGAGAGTTCAATCCCAGGCAGCAGCAGATGTTTCTCTATCAGGGTGCAAAAAGAAAATATTTGCTGAGAACTCTGGGAGGGCAACTGGCTAGTAAATGCTCAGCTCCATTCAGTCACTCTGACTCCAGCCCGATAAAAGGGTCATTAAAATGGGGTGGGGGGAAGTCTAGTCCAGCAGTTCTTAAACATTTAGATCCCGGGACTCCTTTACATTCTCAAAAATAATTGAGACCCCAAAGAGCTTTGATTTATATGGGTTATAATTATCAATATTTACTACATTATAAATTAAAACTAAAAAAAGTTACAGTATTTATCTGTTTGACTTTACCGATCTCTAGGGCTCCCCAGACTGAATTTTGAGAACCACTGTTCTGGTCTATAGGTGTTCTTGTTGCTCAACAGTTCCACATTCCAGTTCTGCCAGATCCATATCATGAATATACAAGATCAGCCCATTGACAACCATGATGAATTATGCTCCCATGTACCTTTGAACGGGTGTTTTTCACCTCTGCTGTCAAAGAATTCTTCACTTAGAGGTATCACGACAGTACAGGTAATTCCCAACTTGGGATCAGAATTTATCTTGCTAAAGCAAGACAGTTATTAAGTAAACCGTGCCCAATTTTACAAGTTTTGCACAGTTGTTAAGCAAATCATGAGTCGTGGGGGTGCAATAAGCCATGGTGGCGCAGTGGTTAGAGTGCTGTACTGCAGGCTACTTCTGCTGACTGCCAACTGCCTGCAATTTGGCCATTCAAATCTCACCAAGTGGTTGTCTCAGCCTTCCATCCTTCTGAAGTGGGTAAAAGGAGGACCCAGATTGTTGCGGGACAATATGCTGACTCTGTAAACCACTTAGAGAGGGCTGTAAAGCACTGTGAAGTGGTATAAATAAGTCTCAGCGTTATCGCTAAGTGCTATTGCAAATCACTGCAGTCGTTAAGTGAATTGTTCAGCGAATCCAGTTTCCCTTAACTTTGTCAGAAACCAGCTGAGAAGGTCACAAATAGCAATCATATGACCTCAGGACACTGAAACCGTCGTAAATACATGCCAATTGCCAAGTGCCCAAACTTTGGTCATGTAACCACGGGCCTGCTGCAATACTCATAAAGGTGGGGACCAGTGTTGTAATTATGAACAGTCATTAAATGAGTGGTTATAAGTCACCTGTACGTGGGACTTTCTGTTTCTCCAGCACTAATCAATTGGGCCAGCTTGCAATTCCCATCATCCGTAACTAACAAACATAAGTGTATACTGAAAATTAGAAACCAAGAGATTGAGGGGAGGTTTATGTTAAGGTAAATAATGTGGGAATCACATTGTCTCTTCCATCCTTCTGCCTTCAAATATGTTGGGCAACTTCTAGAATTCCCAGCAACAATTCCTCCCCCCCCCCAAAGAATTGTCATCCTAGGACTTAAGTGATCTGGAGAAAATCACAATGGTAAAAACTTGGCTAGATTTAGATCCAAACTGATCTAAATGATCCAAACACATAAAGAGTTTATGTAACCATAATTTATTGAACTGATACAAGATATTGAATGATAATTGAAAACACACTGAGGTAAAATGTGATTACTTTATGACACATTCAACCAAGAAAACTTACTTGCAAGTGAATTTAAATAAGTAGTCTATTACTGTAGCTGCTTTGCATACATAACTGAAATTGCAAGAGAATGTGCCTGTTATTCCATAGTTGTAGCCCTCATCCTAGCAACCTGAAGTAATTGGCTGGGGTCCAAAATCCTAGAATTATATAACTGAGACACATTATGTACATTCAAGATAAACTTTCAAAGCTAAGTTTTATGTAAGTGAACACTACTTTAGTGGTAAAATCATCTAAAATCTGATGTTCCTTCAATTTTAATTTTGCCGTAAAATTCATGAGAAGCCTTCTGGAACACAAATTTGTAATAGTGTTTTCACAGCTATCCTATGTATTTTGTCCACCCCCAAATTAAAAAAAAAAAAAAGAGTATTCTCTTTTAAACTGTTCAACTAAAACAGAGCATACCTTTCTGGTCTTCGGCTGCAGTTTCTTCATGGAATCAGTGTGGGATTTAGTCCAGAAAAAGCCAACGAATGGCAAGGCAGCAAGGAAATTGGAAAACATTCCACAATAAGGCTGCTTCTTATTCTGCGGTTGGGGTCCCCACACTCGGTACCAATATGAGAGCATCAAGCCAAGAGAAAAAAACACCATTGTGGAAATAAGCACCTCCTTGTTGGCATAACTTAGCAAATCTCCACATTTTTTGTAGACATAGATAAAGGAAGCAATGCCCAGAAAAGTCCACATTGTGAGCGCTCTGTTTTTGTAGGTCCAAAGATGTACAAAATTGCTTAAAAGGTTTTATAAAGACAAAAAAAAGGCACATATAAAAAAGTCACAGCAGTCAGGAAACTTCAAGGCGTTTGCTGGAGGCGTTGTCTTTCATGAAGAACATTTTGTGACACAAACCTGTCCTATTTCACTCATGCTAACCAGAATCTAAACTATGTATGTAACAATATGTATAATTATATACTGTACAAAACTACAGTATGCCATTTAGGGCACAGGTTTCCAACATTTGTTTTAGCAGAGGCTATGAAGAATACTGTCAAATACAGTTTTTCATGCTTGCTTAAGAATAAAGAAGATTCTTGTTACATTTCCTAAATAAAAGGATAGTTTGAGGAAACATAGCTTTCAAGGATCCCTAGTTTGGTCTAATAAGAACACTGTAAGTGTTTATTACACAGCATAAATAGAAAGCTAGAAACTTCTTCCACCACGTTCTTTCAAAATGTCTTCGCATATGTCCATAAACTTCAATGTAAGGCTCATTCACTTTATCCTAATTGTTTTTGTGTACCACACATTTGATTCGAAATTCCTTTTTGGTCACAAAAACACCCCACCAATATTCTGTCAAAATAATGGATGTACCTCGAGAAACAGTACCACTTGTTTCTTACTGTTGAACAGTCTGTAGGGCTGGGCCAGGATATATATCTATATCTATATAAATTTTAGGGTGCCTGACCTAATTTTAGGGTGACTTCATCCACCAAGAGTGGTAGATAAAATAATTGGCCTAATTCTGGGGCAGATTAAGTAATTAAAACATCCAGTCAAGCCAGTATGAGAAAAATGCTGCAATCCATCAGGATGTGTTTTCCTTTTCTTCTTTCTAAATACTTTAAAAGATCCTGAAAGAAAGAAAAAAAGAGATTTTTTTAAAAAAAAACAAAAAAAGTAGAAGAACGGCTGTCATTCAAACCAGGTGGGGGCCAAGCCCTCTGACCACGATGGAAAGCATCAGGTTAGATTCCATGAGTCTCCTCCGGGCTGGTCCCATCCAGGTTCCTGACCGTGAGGGCTGGGGATGATGGAAAGGTAGTCCAAAGCTGATTTGGGGGGGAGGAAAACAAGCCAGCATTTATAGGAATGGATAGGAAACAAACCCGCATAGAGGCTTTAAAATACCTACATCTAGAGAAAACTGAATGAAAAGACGAGGTGTGTGTGTGTGGGGGGGTTCTCAAGCCCCCACCCACCCCCGTCTCCGATGTGCCCCCAAAAGCCCAAACGGGACAAGCAGAAAAGGCGATTCGCGTCCGTTGCTCGAGGATGAGGTTGCGCCCCCTTCTTCTTCTCCCTTCTTCTTCTCTCCCCCACCCCAAAAAAACGGGAGAAGGAGAAGATGTGGGGGGGGGCGTCAAGGTTCGTCTTCCTCCGCAGGGCTCGCACCAGCTCCCAACCGCCTCCCCGCAACGAAGGTGCGCCGGACAGCCGAGGATGCTCCAGGAGAAGCCGGCGAAAGATCGCGCTGCAGCGACCGAGGGAAGGAGGGGCAGCGCGAGAGGCCATATGAGAAGGGGGGATGAGTTTATGCTAATTAACCTCGCCTTTCCAGCCCCTCTGGCGCGCCGCGCTCCTCGCGGCTCAGCCCCGCCTGGCCAATCGTTGGGCGCTATGCCGAGATGGCCTTATGAAGCTCCGACCAATCGGAAGGGGGAGGAGGCGGGGTTAACCGTTCCTCAGGAGCCTAGTGCGATGTGACGTGAGGAGCGCGCGAGCGCTGCTGGTTGTCATGGGGACGGAGACTCGCGTTTGGCAATCCCCCTCCCGTGCAGACAGCGAAACCTCAAAAGGGCTTGAATTTCACGGGGGTGGGTGGGAAATGTGCTGCTCCGGGAATCGCCTCAGGATACTTCGGGATTTCTTAAAAGATGTCCTCCCCGATATCATTGTTAGAGGAACGTGGAAGGGACGGGCAAGGGAGAATCAATGTTCTGAAGGATATTTATTGAAGCCATTCTCGAAGACTGGGCTCCAAAAACCTTTTCCCCGAATAACGTTGTTCCAGAGAAAGGGGAAGGTAACCTGACTTCACCCACGAGTAGCCACGTTCCAGCGAATTAAACCGAATTTAAAAAAAAAAAACCAGTTTAAGCTCCACCAATCAACTCCGCCGAATGCTTCCGAGTCCCGCCAATCACATGCGCGGAAGGCGGTGACGTCATTGCCAGCGGGTATCTCGTTTCGCCTGGGCCAGGTCGGGTCGCGGTTGCCATGGCGACCGCGGTGCGCTTGGAGTTGGGACGTTTGGCTCAGGAGGCCGCGGCCCTGGCTGGGGTCGTCCGCGGGTCTCTCGGCCCCCACGGAGGACAGGTTCTGCTCACCCGCCCCACGGGGGAGGTCCTGCTTTCCCGAGACGGACGGCGTGTGCTGGAGGCCCTGAATGTGGACTCGCCAACGGCCAGGTAGCCGCTTTCGGGACGAACTTTTGGCCTAGGTTCTCTTTGCGGCCCGCGTGGGAGTCTGAGCTACGGGAACAGGAGACGGCGAGGCTTATTTATTTATTTTTTATTGATTGATTTTCTTGTTTCAGTGATAGATCGTCCAGTTCTGAAACACGGTCTCCTCCTGAAATGGAATATGGTATTATAACCCCCAGAAAGAAAATATAGGTATTCCTCAACAGATAACAGCTAATCAGAGTTGGAAGGGACCCTGTAGGTCATTTATTTATTTATTTTGTCAAGCGATTATAAGGTAACAGGTATAAGTATAAACATAGTTATGAATACATGAAATGGATACATATAAGAAAAATAAAAAGAAACAATAGGACAGGGATGGTAGGCACCTTGCCATTTCTGACAAATGGCAGTCCAATCTCTTCTTGAAAGTCTCAGCTTACAACAATTCACTTAGTGACAGCTCAAAGTTACAACGGCACTGAAAAATGTGATTTACGACCGTTTTTCACATGGTTGGTGCAGCATCCCCATAGTCACAGGATTAAGATTCAGATGTTTGGCGGCTGGTTCATATTTATGACGGTTGCTGTGTTCCCGAGGATCATGTGATCTCCTTTTGCGACTTTCTGACAAGCCAAGTCAATGGGGAAGCCAGATTCACTTAAACAACCATGTTACTAACCTAACACGTGCAATGATTCACTTAACAACCGTGGCAAGGAAGGACATAAAGTGAGGCAAAACTCACTTAACAAATTCTCACTTAGCAACAATTGTGATCGTAAGTTGAGGACTACTTCCAAATGTTCTTTATGGACAACTCTATAATATAGAGCTCACTACTGTAAACCAATTGGGAGACGATTAGGATGTGAGAGAGATTGTGAGCAAGGCTTCCCGATTCCAGAATGGCCACTGCTGGCAAACCAGATGTAACTTTGCAAAAGCCCCCCTTGGGAAAGTTGCCATCTCATCAAGCAAGAGCTGAACTTGGGAGGAGATAAACCCTCCTTTGAACTGTAACTGCACCTTCAAGGAGAAGAGCATCTGTAAAATAATGTCCCCCATTCCAGTCTACCAGACATGGTCCAGAAGGATACTATGCCCAGTGGCATTGAAAGTTGTTGAGAGTTCAAACAGAACCAGGGATATTGCTCTTCCCTCATCCTGCTTTGAAATATGTAGCACCTGAAAGTCAGCAGATGCCCAAGCCTTTCTTTCCCTTACACAATCACCAACTATGATTTATAAATCATTATAGTTAACCCAAAACTAGGCAAATCATTTTTGCAGTATTGTTATTTTAGTTTCAGCTGAGTTCTGAATCAGAATTAGCTAACCACATCTTATCCTCTCCTGTGATGCAAACCTGGGATTAGATTATGTCTCATGATTAAAATGAAATGTTTGCCTATTAATTGAATCTGCTTCTTGGGTTCTTTTCAGTCACATAGGAATCATTTTTAGTATGCAACCTAAGTATATATTAAAATGCACTATATTCTTTATGAAACTTATGTTTATGTGATTGAACATAAAATGGTTCACAAATTTAACAGAATTACAAAAAATAGAATTAGAAAGGGTAACGGGACTGCAAACATTAAAGAAAATTAAATATTTAGGTATATGGCTAACGGCACACTGCAAAACAATAAAGGAGAATAATTATGATAAACTATTACAACAAACAAAAAAAGATTTAGAATTATGG